CTGGGGTGGGGGGAGATGGTGCCCAGTCCCTCCTCTATCCCCTGGGACGGCCCCGTCCCCCGCCAGTCCTGACCCCACTCTCTGCCCCCCACAGTACAGCAACTCGGCGGGGATCAACTACGAGACCCTGGGCCCCGAGGAGCTGCGGACACTGCTCACCACGGTGTGTGGCCAGGGCACGGGGCCTGTCACTGCGGGAGGCACCGGTGGGCACAGGAGAAGCCCCGTCTCCAGCCAGATGGGATGCACGGGGACTGGGATTCCTGGGGTCTCTCCTGGCTCAGCTCTGCCCCAGCAGGGCTGGCTTCCAGGCCAGGAACGAGGACATTTGTGATCTGAACCCAGTGTTGGGGACATGCATCTTTCCCTGGATCAGCCCTGCACCCCACTGGGCAGAAAGCCCCAGTCTTGGGGGACGTGGTGGCCTGGGACGGTAGAACTGGTCTGTCTGGGGGGACAGGACAGCACAGGAGGGTTGGGGTCCCCAGGGCCGTCGTGGTGGAGTGCAGCCTGTGGGCCGCGTGGCTGTTCCTTCGCCCGCTCATCCATCCCTTCTCTCCCCAGCAATGCGGGGTCATCTCTGAGCACACCAAGAAGATGTGCACCAGGTGAGAGTGTCCTGGGCTTTCCCTGCTCGGTGTAGGGCTGCGGGGGGCTTTGGGAGGGTCCCCAGGGTGCCCAGGTCCCAATAGGATTTGCCCCCAATAGCAAAATGCCTGACTGAGCCCCACATCTCCTCCGTCAGGTCCCTGCGGTGTCCCCAGCACACGGATGAGCAGCGGAGATCGGTCCGGGTTTACCTCCTGGGTCCCTCTGCGTAAGTGAGCACACACGAGGCCCGAAGGGTCCCGGGGACGCTGTCCTGGTGTGGGGACTGCGCTGGGGCTCTGCGGCCCAGTGGCAATGGAGACTCGGCAGGGGGGCTGCATGGGACACCCCAGGTCCCGAGTGAGGTGGGGAATGGGGATGGGGACACCTCCAGGGAGGCTTGGAGGGCTGGGATTGGGATGTGCAATGCAGCCGGGTCCCAGGGACCTGGATCCAGGCCCTGGCGTCCCTCGTGTTGAGGGGTGCAGCACTGTGGGCTCCGTCCCCCCGTCCCGGGGGCTGGGGACCCTCGTAACACCTCTGCCCAGGTCCCTGCCTGAGGCGGAGGGCAGCGTGGAGAACGACAGCTTCGAGGTGGCAGAGAGCCAGGCCATCATGAGCCGGCTGCAGTGGGACGGCTCCTCCGACATCTCACCCTCCGACTCAGCCTCCTCAAAAGCCAGTGAGTGGTTTTTTTGCGGGGTGGGCAGATTCTGCGGCATAGACCCCTCCGTGGGGGCAAAACGGGGTGTTCCTGGTGTCTCCCAGCACAAGAGGGGACGGACAGACCCACCATGGTCATCCAGAGCCACCTCAAAAGAGTCCCCGTCACATCTGCCGGCACATCTTGTCACCCACCTTCCTGGGTTGGGGGGAACCTTCTGGGGTACATTTTCCTGGGTGTGGATTGGTGATGGGGGGTGCTCCTGCTGGCCCAGCTCTTCCCCAACACCCCCATCTCCTCCCTTTTTCCCCCCCCCGCCTCAGGTACCAACAACTCAGAGTCCCGCAAGACCAAGAAGAAGAAACCCCACTTGGGGCTGGTGAGCGGCGCCCCAGGGCTCGGCTCCAGCAAGAAGAAGAAGCCCAAACCCCCCGCGCCCCACACCCCCAGCATCTACGACGACATCAACTGAGCGCAGCGGAGCTGATGGGGCGGGGGGACGGACAGACAGATGGACACGGGCCAGAGCAGCCCCTCCCGCCCCGGCT